CAGAAAAGAAATTCAGAGGAAATCTTACTTGCTGAAGGCTGCAAAATTATTCCCAAATTATTTTTGTTTTAACAAATGTTAGCAGGCATTTTCTATAGTTCTGCAGTATGTTTTTCACTATTTGACTTGCTTACTTACCTGGAAGTAGTTACTCTGGTATAAGTATTTGTCCTGGAGTAGGGGGAGGCATTGTATATTTATACAACAGAGATTCTCCAGAGGTTAACAAAACTCTATGTTAATGAATCTTCTGCTTTGTGTCTGTAGCCAGGAATGTCTGCTTTAATGGTTCACATAGAATTGTAGATACAGGGCCAGAGCGGAGTGGGACAGTGTTAGTCAATGCATCTTATTTTATTGGATTCTTTATCCTGAAATTGATTTCTTACATTTCTACTATGCCTGAATATAGCTTTTTTATTAAAAATCACCAGACCTTTTGACAGAATTACTACACCTATCCCCGTTCTCTCTCACTTACTTAGAAGGAAATCTGCATGAAGTTGTGTAAGTTGCAATTTACTGTTCTTTCGGCATGCTGGGTTCTGATGCTGGGTTCCTAGCTTTCATGCTGCTTTGAATTACAGTTTTCATTGATAAATGGTTCTAGATATCACTGTGCTTCTTTGAACAAGGCTTGATTCTCAATTGCTTTTCACTGGCTATGACTAGGCTATTGTAAAAAAACAGATTCAGTTTAGTTGCTGCAAGTTGCACTAGTACATTTAAATATTTACTGTCAAGTTAAATATTTTTTTTCACAGTTCATGATGTCTTAAGTGGTTCTGAGCAGTTGCCTGTGATCTTAGAAGACATTTTTCTTAGCTGGCTCTTCAGGCAGGATGTACTGTTATCTGTCATACCATTTTCGTACAGAAAATGTGTTAATAACTCATTTTTTCAAACCTTTTTCTGTAACATTGTGTAATTCTATTATTTTTATGCTTCTGATAGCCCTTCTTTCAAGCTTTCTCATAATCACTAGCAAGCATTTTCAACTAATACTAAAGCAGGTTGATTGTGTCTGGGTACTTCCAAAGCTGTTATACCAATCTCTAGACATGTATATGAAGTTTTTACTTTGGCTGACATATTTTTTTTTCTTAATTATTTTGTCTGGCTTGCAGATAGGATGATTTTTGGCAATTTTTGTTTACATAGTGATGAAGAGAGTTTTATTTGTATGGAAGCTATTTTGAGGGAAAATGGTTTAGCACTGGCTTCAGTGCTTTTTTTTTTTTTTGCCTTTTTTTTTTTAATATTTGCAGTTTATAGTTTTTTTCTTTGTAATCTTAGGTAAGGGTTCCTGTATTGGCAGAAAGCACCCAAGGTGTTTGATACCTACAGGAGTGTAGGCAAAGGAAAAATATAGTTCATGTAATAGCTGGACAGTGTTCCTTGGGGTTACCAGCATCCTGTAAGGTTAAGGGATGATTTAGTTGTGACTAAATTTAGAGTCACAGTGGAAGATGGAAAAAAACCAATGTAACAGTGCTGCAGGTTGGTCTTATGGATAAGTGAGATTCCTAGTAAAATGCTAGTGTTGATCAGAATGCTGAACAACTTTAACTTTTCTAGTTATGGTGTTGCCTGAAGGAAATCTTCCATGTAATTTTGCTTGGACTCCTAAAGGGAAACTAGAACTCTTTCTTCTTCTGTGTGAATTGGTACTGTGAATGAGAAAACATGTTTCTGTTGTTTCCTTCACTATGCTGATTCCAGGTTGAAAGATGTTTTTCTTGGTTTGAATTGTCTTAATATCTACTTGTATTTATAGATTCTGAATAGCAGTAAAGTGGAATGGCTGATGATAACTGCTACTAGATATTTATATATCTATAGATACATATTTTTAAAAAAGCATTCAGATTTATCTTGTAAATATTTTGTTTCTCTTGATTGATGACAGATCTCTGTCAGTGAAAATACTGAGACTGCATGGTTGGAATGGTGTGTTTAGTTAATATTTGGAGTATTCCCAGTTTTGGAATATTCACAATACATGCATTCAACAATGGTGTAATGAAAGTTTTTCTTTCAAGAGAAGTATCATGATTTATTTATTTATTTATTTTTGTGGATTAGCAGAGAGGATGGTGTGTACTTGTGGTGCAAAGCCTAGAGCTGAATTAGCACAGGACTGGTTTTTCCACTTAAGGTGGAGGAGAGCCTGCCTGCTATATTAGAAGATGGCTATGGCACAGTACCATCTGTGCTACCAACTCCTTTTAGAAGCCTGGGAAGATGCTTCTCTGTCAAGGACATCAGGCACTTTCATTTTTTTGAAAAGCTATTAATATCTTAACAAAACATTTGCTAAAGCAAGGAGAAAGCAATTCCATGACTTTTCTGTTTTGGAGGTGATGAGCTCATTAAAAATTATCTAAAATCTTTTGTGTGCTTCTTTGTGTGTTTAAGCATGTTCCTAAGTGATCCTTCTGCATGCAGCACTAATGTGCTTCTAGCAACATTTAAACTTAGTGGGGTTTTTTTTGGGAAGTGCTTTAACTGAAACACAGAGAATAAAACATGTTTAATCCTTTGGTTCAAGTTAATCTCATTTAAAGCTGTTAAATGAATGAGTATTTACACTTATTTACTGTGGTGTGAGTTTCCAGGAAATTATTTAAGTGCTGTGATTTGGATTACTTTTCAAGAGAATCCTCTGAATATAAGCTCTCAGTAGTGTGTCCTTTATGTGGTGTCTAAGAAATAATATCTGGCTTGTTTTGAGTGCTCAACTGGTGTCACAGCAGCATTTTTAGCATTCTGGTATCTCGAACAGTGAGATCAGTCTGAAATAGCTCTTCTATTTGGAAGAAGTGTTTTTCTTCCAGATCTGGGGCATAGTGTCTTACTTACTGAAACAACTCTGTACACTTTGTTACATAGTTGTTTGTATTTCTGTACTGTTTTGCATAAAGATATGTAGCTGAAATAGAATAAATATCTTATCTGTAACTTGTATTTTAAAAAAAATTATCTATAGGTGGTGATTCGTAAGCTAACTTCAATTATTAATGCTGCTGGCTATCTTTCCTTGGCCCTGTTGTTCTTTCATATGTGTTTAAAATAGCAATACTGTTGCTAGCTTTCATTCTCACTTAAAAACAAAGTGAGAGCAAGCACTTGAACAAAACAGGATAAGCTTCCATAAGCTTTGTAAAATTACTCATGCTACTATATCTTGTATGAAATAGTGTGAAAATGAAAAAAATGCTGGCCTACTGTGGTCTAGTTTTCCATTTCAAAATTAGGGTTAAACTAACCCTAATTAGTTAAACTAACTGTTTTTAGTTGTATCTTTTCCTGTACTAACTTGTATATTTTTTAATCAAGGTTTTACTTTTAGTCTTTCTATCCTTTTCCAGTATTTTCTTCCATATTATTTTTCAGTCTCTTCTGCTCCACCCACTTTTACTATTTCTACAATTTGTTTTGTAAGTGTATGCCTGTTTTAAGCCTAATCTTTGATCTGCTTGCCCAGTTATTATCTCAAAAACATACCAATATGTGGCAAACCTAACTTCTGAGCAGGTGTGGCTAGATGAAAGATGGTGTGAAAGGAAAGATGTTGGGATATGTAAGATGCTGCTACTCGTTAGATACTGTGTGGCATTCTTTCATTTTATATGCTGAGGTCAGACCAGTAATGTTACAGTGTTCTGACTTTGATTTCAGTTGAACCCAACAGTGACTTGAAATAGTTTACACTGGAAAAAAAATAGGGAAAAAAGGAGGACCTGTACAGTGGGAGTAGTTCTACCATGCAGTAGTTCAGTTGCAAGTGGATTTCCTCCCTGTCTCTTGCTCCTCTACTAGATCTTGACTACTAACTGTGGTCTCAGCTCAGTGCTCCTGTAATAAAGAGATACCTGCTTATAGTGCTTATAGAACAGCATAATGCTGCAGTGCAAAATAAATAAATAAATAAAAATTAAAATTTGCACATGCCACCAGTCTGTGTTTAATGGAAAAGGAGAGGGGATGAGGAACTACAACATGATAGTGTACTGTTTTGTGTTTTCAGAGGTCCCTGCTGTTGGAATGATATTATTTAATTGATTTAATCTGAGCTGCTTAACGAGTGCATTTTGATTGAAGTATTTGCTTAACCTGAACAAAGATCTAAGTCATAGAACCACAGGGGTTGGAAGGGACCTCTGAAGATCATCAAGTCCAACCCCCATGCAGCAGCAGCAACACCTAGGGCAGATCATACAGGAGCATGTCCAGACTGATCTTCAGAGTTTCCAGAGAAGGAGACTCCATAACCTCTCTGGGCAGCCTGTTCCGTTGGTCCGACCAGTCACGTTTAGGATTGAATCCCAGTTGGAGAGAAACTAAGAGATGAAGCAGTTTCCAGTGCAGATGTGGTTCTCGTATTCTTTTTAACCTTATTGGTCCCATTGCTCTGTGACTGCTGTTCTTTTATACCTGTATCTATACTTGCTTATTAAGCTTTGTGGTCAGTAATGATTTAATGATGATTTTTAGCTTTGGTCATGACTTCTGGGTTTGAAGGAGGGCTGACAGCAACACTAAAAGGACATGCTAGTCGAGATCATGATCAGAATAATTTCAGTCCTTCCTGCATTCCCATTTCCAGGATTTTTTTTCACAGCAACAAGGTTCAGAAATTCTGTTCTAGGGGAGCTAGCAGTGCTTCAAGGAAAGAAATCTTACTGAATGCGCTTTAAATTTTGATTGTATCTCTTACTCAGGTAGCAGAATACACTATTCTAGTATGGGACAAATTATTTTGTGATAAACTAGGTGTTTAATATGTTATTTTTATTTATATAGTTTTTAATATGTTATTCTTATTGATACAGATATGGTCCTGAACATTGTGAGCACGTGACATCAAAGATGGACAACTGGATCTGTTATATGTTGTGATTGGCCTTAAGCTGACTTAAAGCCGTTGAAGAACTTAACAGGATTTCTTTAATTCCTGATTTCTGCCTATCTAATTGCCTCACACCACCAGTTTAATCATGTATGGAAGTGCTCGGTCAGTTGGTAAGGTTGAGCCAAGCAACCAGAGTCCAGGGCGTTCACCAAGGCTGCCACGGTCACCACGTTTGGGCCATCGTCGAACCAACAGCACAGGAGGCAGTTCTGGGGGTGGTACTGGGGGTGGGAGTGGGAAAACTCTTTCTATGGAAAACATTCAGTCCTTAAATGCTGCCTATGCTACGTCTGGCCCTATGTATCTTAGTGACCATGAGAACGTGGGTGCAGACACCCCAAAAAGCACCATGACTTTGGGCCGGTCTGGGGGGCGGCTGCCTTACGGTGTTAGGATGACTGCAATGGGTAGCAGCCCTAACATTGCCAGTAGTGGAGTTGCCAGTGATACTATTGCATTTGGAGAGCACCATCTCCCTCCTGTGAGTATGGCATCCACTGTGCCTCACTCACTGCGCCAGGCCAGAGATAACACAATCATGGATCTGCAGACACAACTCAAAGAAGTCTTAAGGGAAAACGATTTACTTCGCAAGGATGTGGAGGTGAAAGAAAGCAAGCTGAGTTCTTCTATGAACAGTATCAAGACCTTCTGGAGTCCTGAGCTAAAAAAGGAGAGAGCTTTGAGGAAAGATGAAGCTTCAAAAATCACCATTTGGAAGGAACAATACAGAGTTTTGCAAGAAGAAAACCAGGTTTGTCATCTAATGTCACTGTTGTGTTAGTGCAGTAGCATGATTGAATGAGTTTAATAAACTTGCATGTCTCTTGGAAGGAGCTAAATGATATTGGTGCTTTTCCCAGTTAATCAGCGTGATTAAGATGTGTTTTCAACTTGCAAACTTCTTTTTAAGTGTTTCATGTCAGATTTATAAGCCACCCCTTAAGTGCTGATTTCTCCTTGTGTGTCATGTGTTTTTTTCCTAGGACTGATGCTAACTATTTAGTTTCCTTTTTGAAATATTTTGCCCCAATCATAATTAATATTTCTGTAGTGCTTACCTCTTGAAATATTCTCTAAAATGCAGAATGTACTAACTGCTGACCCCAGATACAACTGACTTGTTGCTGGATGTTGACAGGTTGCTGGTAACGCAAAGTTAACATTACATTGGTCTTACTTTAGAGCGCCAGCTAAAACTTCCAGACCTGCAGTTTTCACAAACGGATGTAAATTGTGTTCTTTGCTACATTTACGTAATACTGTTTAAGACCTGCTCATCTACTCTTTTGTAGCTGTGTATATCTTGTTACACCACTATCATAAAGCACCCTACAGTTGTTTGTGTTTTTTATTTTTAATTGGTCTGGCTAGTTAGAGAATAGGCAGGAGAGAATTTTGGGTGTCTAGTTCCTTTGTCTTGTCCCTCTTAAAAGCATTCCTGAATTAGAAGAGAACTGGGAGGCTGATTAAAATTGAAGTCTCTTTGTAGTCAGCTCTACTTATTAAAAGCTTTTTTAAAATTCCCCACCTAGACTCTTGCTTAGCTTAATCCTGAAGTAACTACTAGCTTTTGAGTTAGTGTCCTGCTGTTCAGCTGCTTCTGGCCAAAGGGGAGTTCGGCATCTCTCCAGACACTGACGGAAAACAGGCCCAATGTCCAACTTAAGAAGTTCCTTGAAATGTAAGTCCGCTTTCACCATGATAAAATTACTTTCCCTGTTCAGTTTTTTAAATAACCAGGAAAGTTTAATGAAATAGTTCCCATAATTCAAGCATGATCAAGTTCTTCAACCTTTTAAGGTATACTTGCTATTTTAGACAGTGCTTTTTTTAAGATTTCCTTTAGAAGGGGAAGAGGAGAAGGAAACTGCTGGAGTTAAAAAGTAGAGCTGGAAGTACTTGACATGTACTACTTTCTGGTGACCTGTCTTAAATAGTAGAGTCGTTTTGGTTAGTGATAACATCTACACTGAAGCTATCTAAGATTTTATTTTTCACATTTTAAAGAACTGAGTTGAAGAAAGTAAGTGGCTTTTCCTGAGTTAGTATGAAATAATTTCATGAACTTATCATGTGGTTTTAAAGCTGTATTCTTACTGAATGATAAGTATCACAACATGGGATTTGTTAATATGTGTGACATCTCAGACTCATTGTCATCCGTTATATTGGAGTGAAAAAAACCTAAAGTTTTATTACAAAAAGTAATATTTATTTTTATTACAAAAGTAGGAATTCCTTAGAAGGAGTAATCTAGTGAAAAATTTAGTTACAGTGATACAGTACCAGTAGCATAAATATATGAAATACCATTCACTCAACTTTCTGCTACTCTTTGTATTTCAGCTGCAGGTAAGTATTTTAATTCTCAAATCCTTTCAATTTCAAGTTCTGTTTTTATACTGAAGAGAATGTATTAGAATATAATTAAGTTTTTTTCTGAAACCAGTTTTGACATTCAAGGATGCTGTGGAAATCTTGCAAGAAAAATGCAATGAACGACTGGTTTAGAATCTGTTAAGCAGTTACTAAATATGTATAGATGGGAGAACAGTGGTTCCTCTATCTGAGGGCTTTTTTTTTTATTTTTTTCCCTTGTCTTTCCTTTATCCCCTAATTAAACATTTGTAGATATTTCCAGACTGCTGTTCTCTAGGCAATCACTGTAATTAGTACCACACTGGTAGAATTGTATAACTTTGGTCCAAAAAAAGAAGGGTGCGATTTGAAAGTAAAAGTGTATTATTGTATTGAGCTGTAAAAACTAAGAATGCTAATTAATAGATTATAGTTAGCTAACAGTGTGTCCCAATTAAACTCTGAATTCATTATGTCTTCTATAGCCTTTTGGAGTTGGTCACTTTAGCCCTTTATAAGGAAGATCAGTTTAATAGGATTTACTGTAATTAAACAGACTTTTCTGTGTAGACACTGAACAAGGGATTTCTCTCATCTGTTGGGGGACCAGATAAATCTCTTCATTACCCCTGCAACCTCCCCATAAAATGTGTTCCAGTATAATTGCAAGAACTGATGTTTTGGGTCTCAATATGAGTATTTCAGCACATCACTTTTAATAAAGACTTGTCACATGGGCAGGACTTAGTTTAGATAAGGCCAAGAGCATTGTTAAAAAAATTAACTCAACTCATGGAGCTGAGATGCTGACTGACTCATGCCATTATCTGATAGTCATCTTAATCTCTCTGTGATAGTCATCTTAATCTCTTTGCTGTGGTCTTGGCTCTCTAGTCCTCTCTGCACACTTGATTGTCCCTGATTGTGTTTTACTATTGCTGTCCTTGCCACCTCAGCTTTGTCTGATTGAACTGTCTGGAGGTTTTGGGAGTTGTTAAAAATACATGAAAGTGTGAGTTCTGTTTGATTGCAACTTTGGCCTCCTGTGAAAAATGCAGTAGTGTCTTTTGGTTTGTATTGTTTAGGGATTTCCAAGAATTTTTCTGGATTCCATGAAGATCAGAGAATGAACAGAGAAATTAAAGAGTATGCTATGAGGCAGTCCTGTCTCTTTTTTGTTTCATTGTCTTTTTAGGGCAATAGGTGTCAGGGATATCTTTGATATCACAGAATCACAGCATCACAGACTTGTCAGAGTTGGAAGGGACCTCTAGAGATGACCTAGTCCAACTCTTCTGCTAAAATAGGATCTCCTGGAGCACATTACTCAGGACTGCATCCAGGTGGGTTTTTCCAGAGAAGAGGACTCCACAGCCTCTGTGGGCAGCCTGTTTCAGTGCTCTGTCATCCTCACAGTAAAGTTTTTCCTGATATTTAAATGGAGCTTCCTGTGTTCCAGCTTGTGCCCATTGCCCCTTGTCCTGTCACTGGGAACTACTGAAAAGAGTCCGGCTCCAACCTCCTTGCACCCATCCTTTAGATACTTACAGGCATTAATAAGGTCTCCCCTCGGCCTTCTCAACTCCAGGCTAAAGAGTCCCACCTCTCTCAGCCTTTCTTTTTAAGGGAAATGTTCCAATCTGCCAGTCATCTTTGTTGCCCTCTGCTAGACTCTTGAACTGGGGAGCCCAGAACTGGATGCAGTATTCCAGATGTGGCCTCATCAAGGCAGAGTAGAGGGGGAGAATGACCTCTCTCGACCTGCTGGCCACACTATTCCTTATGTACCTGAGGATTCCATTGGCCCTCTTGGTGACAAGGGCACATTGCTGCCTCATGGATAATTTACTATCTTCCAGGAATCCCAGATCCTTCTCCTCAGAACTGCTTTCCAACAGATCCATCCCTAACCTATATTGGTGCATGGGGTTCTTCCTCCCCAGGTGCAGGACCCTACACTTGCCATTATTGAATGTCTTTAGGTTCCTCTCTGCTCAGCTCTCCAGCCTGTCCAGGTCATGCTGGATGGCAGCACAGCCCCCTGGAGTGTCAGCTACCCCTCGCAGTTTGGTATCATCAGTGGACTTGCTGAGGATACACTCCATCCCCTTTTCCAGGTCACTGATGAATATATTGAACAAGACCAGACCCAGCACTGACCCCTAGGGGACTCCACTGGCTTCAGGCCTTCCATAAAGCTTTCAAAGGTTTTGAAAGAACTTCAGTCTTGCTGAGCTGTGGTGTTTTCACGAGTTGTGGTGCAGCACACCTGTATTCATCAGCTGCTCTGAGAAAATACTGCATCTGTGGAGTCTAGCATATTCTGAACTTTATATTCATCCTTTGTTACTGATCTTTAAGAGTCAGAAAATCCTTTCTTTTAAAAAATGGGGAGTGTCATTTTGAAGAGCTCAAAAGTAAACATGGGAAGTATTCCTGTAGTTAACATAAGTACTTGGAAAAAAACAATAGTTTCAGTGAAATGGGGTTTAGTTAACCAATTACACTTGCAAGAAGACAAAAGGAGAATGTAAATGATTTCTTAAATGTTAAACTCATGTATATCTAGGGAGAAACTGAGAGAGCCAATAAACAGGAGCTTGTTTTTGGCGTGGGATCGCTCTCCTCAACATGCTTTAGTAGGAACTGTATTTTTTTTGAGTTGAAAAATATTTTTTTTAGTGTGGTTTAAAGTTTCCTTGGAAACCTCTTCATCAGAAGCCAGAAGAGGGAAGGAAAGACAGTGAGTATTTTTTGCTCTTCAGTAGAAAAAATTTCCCTAAAACTGGACCATGGTGGAATATGTGGAACTCAAGAAAAAACCCAAAACTTTCAGCTGAAATTTGCTTATAACAATGTGATTATACCTTAAAATAAGTAGTGCAATGCAAATTTGATGCCTAACGCCCTGCACTGATCTTTCCCACTTTTGACTGATCTACATTTAAGATCTGATTTATGTTTCAGCTGAAATAATGTGGTGCTGCTGAAAACATCTTTTTACTTTGATGTATTTCTGTGGTCTTTTTGTGGTTAGAGACCTTGGATGTCTGAGTGAGAGTTTAACCAAGAAAATATTGCTGAAAGGAATTTCACCTTGCTAGGGGTAAGCACTTGAAGAAGATTCTACTTTATTGTGATGGAGAATTGTGATGGGTATACTCCATAATTTCATTAGTGTTTTTCTCCAGAGTCACAAGTACTACCAGTTTTATAGTAGTGTCAAATGAGCTTCTTACTTTAAAAAATATAGTTGTCCATGTATTAGCCTCTTGAATGCATTGAGTGCTGCTGTTGTGAGACTGGCTGAGCTTCTGATGAGTACATTTCTTCTCCGAAAATCAGATTAATTCTCACTTCTCTATTGATTTCATTTTGAGGTTTTTAAATATA